TAAGGACCTTCCTGAGGCGTGGATTTTATAAAAGAATTTTTTCTAGCCTATCCTGAGGCGTGGACTTTATAAAAGGATTTTTTCTAGCCTATCCTGAGGCGTGGATTTTATAAAGAATATTTTTAAGGACCTTCCTAAGAATTTAATTTTTTCAAAGAATATTTTTAAGGACCTTCCTAAGAATTTAATTTTTTCAAAGAATATTTTTAAGGACCTTCCTGAGGCGTGGATTTTATAAAGAATATTTTTAAGGACCTTCCTAAGAATTTAATTTTTTCAAAGAATATTTTTAAGGACATTCCTGAGGCGTGGATTTTATAAAGAATATTTTTAAGGACCTTCGTAAGAATTTAATTTTTTAAAAAATATTTTTAAGGACCTTCCTAAGGCGTGGATTTTATAAAGAATATTTTTAAGGACCTTCCTAAGAATTGAATTTTTTCAAAGAATATTATTAAAGACCTTCCTAAGGCGTGATTTTTTCAAAGAATATTATTTAGGACCTTCCTAAGGCGTGATTTTTTCAAAGAGTATTATTAAGGACCTTCCTAAGGCGTGATTTTTTCAAAGAATATTATTAAGGACCTTCCTAAGGCGTGATTTTTTCAAAGAATATTATTAAGGACCTTCCTAAGGCGTGATTTTTTCAAATAATATTATTAAGGACCTTCCTAAGGGGTGGATTTTATAAAGAATATTTTTAAGGACCAAAGAGTATTATTAAGAACCTTCCTAAAGACCGTTTTTTCGAGGATTTGTTAGGTTTGTTCCCCTCTCTGGTAACAACTGTCATTCCCTTGCCTGGTCACCTGGCACTTGTCTAAGTTGTTGTTAATATTAGCGTTTCCGTTTTGCCTTTTTTCATTTCCGGTCCTGTGGAGAACAAAACCACCTGCTACCACTATATAAGATAAACGTTTCTGTTTAACACAGGACACATAGCTGGCAATGGTGCCTCCTTTTTGCTTTGCCTTTTATGGTTCTGAGGGTTCGCGTGTGTGTGTGTGTCTTCTTTCAGTTTCGATTAATATTAACAAAATGGGAATCTATGCAATTCTGCAACGGAATCGCAAAATTCTTCTGTGACTTTGTCTATTACATTCAGCATTCTTACATCCGGCATTTGTTTTGCCTTTGTAATTCTCTTTTGGGAGAGCATAACATCTATTTCATTTTTGGCACTGCAAAATTCTTAGCCTGTGCTGCATTGGCAAACATTTTAATTATGCCCCCATGTTTTACTTCACCAGGCTGTTTTTTTTTTCTATACAATTTTTTTTATTGCTGTTTGCTGTTCTAGTTGTTGTTGTTGGATTTTATTTATTCTGTTCCATTCATCCGAAATTTAGGTCAAGGTATAGTTTCCATTCTCTCAACAACTGCATTGGTACACCAACGACTCGAATACGCTTTAACGGCACGGCACCGATAAAAAATAAAGGGTTGAAAAGGATATGCCGCCTATCGTGCGGCAGGCAGCCATGCAGGCTGCAACAAACAACTGAAGCCGAGTGCATGATGATGATTATTTGCCCTGAAGTTGGTTGACACGGAGAACACCTCAAAGTGGATTTAAAGTTTTTTTCATTACACTTCAGTTGTCATTGGAATTCATGGATGCGAATTATCGAGGTTGAACACCTTTTTACTAGAAATTGGATTTTTAAGGAACATTTTTTTTCAAGGACTTCAAAGGCATGGATTTTTTAAAAAAGATTTTGCTAAATACTTTTTTCAAAGGCCTTTAGAAGGCGTGGATTTTTTAAAAAAATATTCTTCAAGGACCTGTAGAAGGCGTGGATTGCCTAAAAGAATATTTCCCAAGGACCTTTAGAAGGCGAGGATTGTCTCAAAGAATATTTTTAAATGTCTTTTAGAAGGCTTGGATTGATTTAAAGAATATTTTCCAAGGACCTTTAGAAGGCGTGGATTGATTTAAAGAATTTTTCAAGGACCGTTTAAAGGCGGATTTGTTAAATAATAATTTTCATGGGTTTTCAAAGGACCTACATAAGGCGTGGGGTTTCAAAGGAACTACAAAAGGCGTGGGATTTCAAAGGCCGTTTTAAGGACCTACATAATGCATTATTATGTGTGTTATTTTTTAAAAAGGACTTTTTGATTAGAAGTTGAATTTTTAAAGAATATTTTTCAATGGACTTCAAAGGAATGGATTTTTTCAAAAATATGTTGTTAACGACTTTTTTCATTTGTGATCCGAAAACCTTCAAGGACCTTTAGAAGGCGAGGAATGTCTTAAAGAATATTTTTCAATGACCTTTAAAAGGCGGATTTGTTAAATAATATTTTTCAAGGGCCTACATAAGGCGTGGGTTTTCAAAGGACCTTCATAAGGCGTGGGTTTTCAAAGGACATACATAAGGCGTGGATTTTCAAAGGATCTATACATAAAGCGTGGTTTTTCAAAGCACTTACATAAAGCGTGGTTTTTCAAAGCACTTACATAAGGCGTGGGTTTTCAAAGGACCCACATAAGGCGTGGGTTTTCAAAGAACCTTTGGAAGGCGTAGATCTTTGAAAACCTTCAAGGACCTTTAGAAGGCGAGGATTGTCTTAAAGAATATTTTTCACGTACCTTTAAAAGACGGATTTGTTAAATAATATTTTTCAAGGGTCTACATAAGGCGTGCGTTTTCAAAGGACCTACATAAGGAGTGGGTTTTCAAAGGACCTACATAAGGCGTGGGTTTTCAAAGGACCTACATAAGGCGTGGGTTTTCAAAGGACCTACATAAGGCATGGGGTTTTAAAGATCTTTTTCAAGGACCTACATAAGGCGTGGGTTTTCAAAGGACCTACATAAGGCATGGGGTTTTAAAGATCTTTTTCAAGGACCTACATAAGGCGTGGGTTTTCAAAGGACCTACATAAGGCATGGGGTTTTAAAGATCTTTTTCAAGGACCTACATAAGGTGTTATTAAGTGTGTTATTTTTTTCAAAGGCGTCTTTTCAAGGACCTACATAAGGCGTGGATTTTATAAATAATATCTGCTAGGAATACTTAGAAACTGTGGATTCTTGAAAAAATATTTTAGCGCGAACCTTCCTAAACTGAGTTTTGAAAACATATTTTTCGTGGATTATTAAAACAAATATTAGCAAGGGCATTCGAAAAGCGTGGATTTTGAAAATTTTTCTTTCTAAAAGATATTCCTAAAGCATGGAAGTTTGAAGAATAATTTTTCAAGAGGATAACATTTTTTAAAGTCCTACATAAGGTGTGGTTTTTATACCCTTATATATCTATTATGTATTTGTGCATATGTTTGTAACAGGCAAAAATAATCGAGCTAGACCCATGGTTCCTTTTGAGAATATGCACAGAATCACATTCTGAGTCGATTTATGCATGTCCGTCCGTTTGTCCGTCTGTCCATGTTAAATTGTAAACAAAGTACAGGTCGCATTTATGATCTGAATTGGATGAAAGTTGGCATAGGCCACTTATTTAACCCTAGGACGAACCATATTTAAATTGGGAAAAATCGGTTCAGATTTAGATATAGCTCCCATATATAGATTCGTCCGATTTGAGGTAAATGGTGCACCAAAGTGCATATTTAGGTGCACCAAAGTGCACCTAAATATACATCTATTTGCACGAAACTTGGCACAGCGTACTGAATTGAGTATACAGTGATGTGTGGTAAGTTTCGTGAAAATCGGTTCAGATTTAGATATAGCTCCCATATATATTTTCATCCGATTTAAGGTAAATGGGGCACCAAAGTCCCTATATATCTTTCGATTATCACGAAATTTGACAATGTGTATTCAATTGAATCTAGAATGGCGTGTGTTAAGTTTCGAGAAAATCGGATCAAATTTAGATATAGCTCCCGTATATAGTATTGTCCGTTTTAAGGTAAATGGGGTACCAAAGTCCATATATATCTTTCGCACAAAATTTAGAATGAAATATGTTGCATAGAAAATCGGGTGAATTACGTCCATTTAAAGTGTGTATATATCTTTCGAATCAGAAATTTGGCAAGGTGTATTCAATTGAATCGGTGTTTTACAGATTTATATATAGCTATATACATTTAAGGTAAATGGGGCACCAAAGTCCCTATATATCTTTCGATTTGCACGAAATTTGGCATAGGGTAATGAATTAGGCCCGGAATGATGTGTGCTAAGTTTTGAAAATCGGTTCAGATTTAGATTTAGCTTCCATATATATTTTCGCCCGATATATTGTGTAAATTGTGCACTAAAGACCAAAAATTTGACTGACTTTGAGATGGTAATATGTCCCAACCATAGCTCGTGTGTTAAGTTTCGAGAAAATCGGGCTAGATTTAGATTTAAGTTCGTTCGATTTCATGACAATGTTCCTTCGAAAAGGGCGACGGCTGTTAGGATACAAATGTAGAATATACCCAAAGTGGTGAAGGGTAGAGTTGGGCAATCTTGTTCACTTAGCGGATCGATCTTTCTCGTTCCTTTTTTAAAAAGGAACTAGTTCCTTAATGTAGTTCCTTTGCTCTATATAGTTCCTTTACTCCATACTGTTCCTTTGCTTCATATAGTTCCGACTCCTAAATAGTTCCTTTGCAGCTCTCTCTTTCATCATTCTTTTTTTTCGTTTTTTTTATATATAGTACCTTTGATCCATGTAGTCCCTTTGATCCATGTAGTTCCTTTGCTCCATATAGTTCCTTTACCCCATACTGTTCCTTTGCTCTTTATAGTTCCTTTGCTCCAAATAGTTCCTTTTCTCCATATAGTTCCGACTTCTACATAGTTCCTTTGAATCTCTCACTTTCATCGTTCTTTTTGTTTTTTTTTTCGCTCACATAGTTCCGTGCTGATTCGTTAATAAATATCCAATGAACTAGTTCGTTCCGGAACTACCCAACTCTAGTGAAGGGTATCATATAGTCGGCCCAGTCCGACTTTACTACTTTCCTTACTGTTTTTTTGTTTGTTTGCTAAATAAGTTTTGAATTTAACATTCTTTTTTTATTTCCAGACACCATCGCCACAAAAAACGCCATCGTCATAAAAAACCAAAAATCCTTGTACAAGACTTAGAAACCCAGGAAGTCAAGGTAATCTATCAAGTACTTAAAATTGTTGCTGTACTTCAAATGTTTTTACAACTTCTATAAATGTTTTCTTTTTTCATTTTCCGTTAAAAGGTAATCGATCCCGATGACTTGCCACAACGTGCTCGCTGGACTATTATAGCCACAGCGTGTCTACTGTTGCTCATGTGCCTCATGTTAGTCGGTATAACATTGCGTATGGCGCCAATCATCGATGATATGGGTAAGTTAGAAGCAAAATAAATATTTTTTCGCTGACATGCAGACATTTTTTTCGATTTCTGTTTTCGTTTCTATATTTTTTTTGTACTTTTTAACCACATTTGAAATGCATTCCAAATTCTTTTTCGGAATTTCGTTTGTTATTTTTTGTAAATACAAATACATTCTAAATTCTAAATCATTTGTTGTGTTCTTCATTTGTCCATTTCAAATGTCTTTGTCGCTGTTTTTATGTACAAAATTGGTCATTCAAAAATTATCTAAAAATATACACTGAGAAAAAAAATTTTTCGATTGCAATGGATGAAAATTATTATTGAGATTTGAAGTCAGTACAAGTAAATTTTGGGAAAAAAAATTGAATCCATTCTAGATGATCCTGAATAGAGTGGAATATGGCAAAATCATAGACTATTAAATTTTATAATTGTTTCCATTTCGATAAACAAATTTTTCTCAGTGTATACAATTTTTTTATTTTAAATGTATGTCTTTTATTTTTGTTACCATATATTTTATTTTTAATTTTTCGATAAAAAATATAATTTTATGTAATTTAATATACTAAAAGAAAATGGAACATTTTATATAAATTTATTGAATGAACAACAAAAAGAAAATAACTTCTACAAATGTGTTTTTGTAAAAAAGAGGAAAACCAATTGGGTTTTTCATTTCACATGGCTATCGAGTAAAACTATGACCCAAAAATTTCCACAAAAATAGATAGATTTGTGTATAAAGTATTAAAATATAAAAGAATTCCAAAGAACCTATAAAAAATTTTGAAAAAAAAAAAACATTTTTGTAAAGCAAAAAAAAAATATTTGTTTCGCCTTATTTTTCTCAAAACCCAAAATAGATTTGAAAAGTAATTCTAATTCTGTCGTTTGTTTTAACATTTCGTTACTTTGATTTCGTTCGTTATGGTTCGTCATTGTACATTTGACCATATTTGCTGTGTTTTTTGCCACTTTTCTTTCTAATTGCAAAACAAAATATTTTCTACTTCATCCAAATCAAATTTACAACAAAAAAAAAATCAAAGAAAATTCAAATTTCTTTATAAATCTAATTTCGTGTTTGTTGTTATTTACTTCTTTTTATTGTTTTTCCGTTTATATTCCGTACCAACAAACAAAACGAACGACTCTCAAAAAAACTGAAAAAAATATAAAACGCTTGTACAAAATTGCCTTGCAACTCAAAACAATTAACCAACAAAATCAAACAAAAAAACAAAATTAAAAAAAAAAAACATTCAATGAAACCAAAACAAAAACCGACCAATTTTAGATTTCGAACAGAAATGTAAGTACAGTTTTTTTTTTCTTACAAATACAAAAATACTTACTTTCAACTACCTTGTTATACTATTTTGATTTCTTCAACATACTACTCTTTCTAAGTTTGCTTATTTTTCGAAAAAAAAAATTTACAAATTTCGCTTTGATTTTCATCTTAACACAATATAGAAGATATTATAAATATAAAATTAAAATATTAACAATTTTTTTAATATATATATTTACAATGGCTATACATAGGTATATTTTGACATTTAAAAAAGGGGAATTTAGAGTTAAAATATTTTGAACTTTTTATAAAAATTTACATAAATATGAACTTAATATCAATTCTTAAATAAAATACTTAATTTGAAAATTCGGATATTCGAATTTTATTAGGTAATTGTACACTATATATAATAAATGCTAATTATATTTTATTTATTATATTTTATAGAACAATAATAATTAAATTCTTATAAAATTTATTGCTGAAAAATCTGTTTGAAATTAGAGTCTGCTGCCGTTAAATTTTACATTTTTATGATTATGATAAAGAATTCGAGAGTGACTCATACCTTATGTCTATGTGAAAACACTTTGTCAAATCTTGAAGTACGATTATTCATGTTATAACCAATAATAAATTCAATTAAACAATAAATCGAATATGAGAGCTGTAGGCCAATTGGAAAACAGTTTTCGGCGATTATCTCTTCAGTCCGACTAACATTTGGTATGCCTCAGTGGCCTACGTAAACTTTCCTATATGAAATAATTGATTGGTATCAGAGGTCTAAAATATAAGGCTCTTTACATAAAAAAACAATAAGGAAATCAATAAAGTCGGATATGATACCCCTCACCACTTTGGGTACATTCAATAGGTGAATTCTAACAGACGTCGCCAGGACCAGTAAAATTAACTTGGATCCATAAACAAGTCATTCTGCAACCGATACTAAATTTTTCATTTGGTATATAGAATCTATATCTAAACCTGACCGATTTCAGGAAACTTAACACACATCATTCTAGACCTAATACATTACGCTTTGCCAAATTTCGTCCAAACCGAAAGATATTAGGGGACTTTGGTACACCATTTACCTTAAATCCGACGAAAATATTTATGGGAGATATAGCTAAATCTGAACCGATTTTCACGAAAATTAACACACATCATCCTAGACCTAAGTCATTAGGCTGTGTCAAATTTCGTGCAAATCGAAATATATATAGGACATTGGTGGACCACTTACATTAAATCGGACAAAAATATATATGGGAGCTATCTCTAAATGTGAGCCGATTTTCACGAAACTTAGCACACCTAATTCTAGACCTACTTCATACCTGGTAGGCTATACCAAATGTCGTGCAAATCGAAAGATATATAGGGACTTTGGTACACCATTTACCTTAAATCGGGTGAAACTATATATGGGAGCTATATCTAAATCTGAACCGATTTTCACGAAATGTAGCACACGTCATTCTAGACTTAATTCAATACGCTATGCCAAAATTCGTGCAAATTGAATGATTTTCAGGGACTTTGGTGCACCACATACCTTAAATCGGGCGAAACTATATATGGGAGCTATATCTAAATCTGAAACGATTTTCACGAAACTTAGCACACATCATTCTAGACCTAAGTAGGCTATACCGAATTTCGTTCAAATCGAAGGATGTATATGGACTTTGGTGCGACATTTACATTAAATCGGACGAAAATATATATGGGAGCTACATCTAAATCTGAACCGATTTTTCCCAATTTCATTAGGGTTCGTCCTTGGGCCAAATAAGTGACCTACGCCGAATTTCGTCCAATTCGGATCATAAATGCGACCTGTACTTTGTTTACAATTTAACATGGACAGGCGGACTTGTATAAATCGACTTAAAAAGTGATTCTAGGCATACTCCCAAAAGGCATATTCCTAAAGGAACCATGAAATTTATCTTGACACAAAATCCAATAAAAGTTATTCTAATTTCGATTTGGTACGTTGTACACTAATTCGTCCTAAACGGACAAACATTAGTTATTGGGTACATCATTTTCATAAAATTGGCTGAAAATATACATTAAGGCTGTATCTAAACCTGAAACGTCTACAATCCAATACTCTAGGCAATATTTCATGTAAAGCGAACAGACGTAGTCTCCTCCATTAGGATAACATCGGACAGACGTACCGATTTCAACAACAAAATATCGTGCAAGTTGAAAAGGATCTATTGTGAACCATCTACATAAAACGGGACTAAAGTATATATGTGAGCTATATTTAAATCTGAATCGATTTCAAACATAACAAAAACATTCTAGACTAAATCCAATACCACCTTTTTCGTGAATATAGAATAAACACGGAATCCTGCCTGCGCCATTTACCTAAAATTGAAGGAAAATATATATAGAAGCTATATCTAAATCTGAACCGATTTCAACAGAACTTCGCATATGTCTATTTGGAACTAACTCAGTACTCTGCGCAATATTTTGTCTAAATCGAACCAACCTTGGAGCACCATTTACATAAAAGTTTGGAGTTTGGCGCATCGTATAGAAAAAATCGGACGAAAATATATATGGGAACAATATCTAAATCTGAACGGATTTTCGACCCTAAAAAAAGTACTTACCGATCACCATGGAAACAGCCACACATATTCTATGGTCAGATCCACTTCTCTGTGTAAAATTTCGTGGCGTTGGGGTCATTATTATAACCTCAAGTGCTCAAGTGGGAAGTTCCAAATTCAGGCATGTTAAAACCCAGAGTTCAGTAGTAAACCCCTCAACATCATTCATTTTGAATTGTACAGAAACATAACGTCAAGTTTATTTTAACATTAACAGATGCCTCAATGTAATACATTTTGTCTCAGACATCAACCCAATTGGAACTAGTCACATGTCCAAAGTTATCTAATGAGCTTTCAGGTTGTAAAATAAACTAATCAATTAGTTGTACTAAAACTCTAAAAGCTTACAAAGATTAATAAAACTTTTAAAACGTTTTAAGTTTCTCAACATGGCCCTTAAGAGCTTAATTATTATTCTCTAAACTTTACCCTTGGAGCTTTCAAGCTTCCACCACTATTTCATTCCCCGAGCTTTCAACTTTCAAAGTTCCACAGCATCCCGAAAAAAACAAAACACTCAAAATACCCATACACTCACATACAACATTCACACTTGTAGCTTTCACTCATTTACCTTCCAGAACATGTTGTGTTACATCACACAATTTCGTTCGTTCGTTCGTTCGTTCGCTAGCAATAAAAACAAAAGGATAACGAAAGCAAACGAAACGAACAATAGGCAGCATATTTACTTCGTTTAACTAGGAGAGCAACATAAAGTGGCAAACAGCTCATTATTAAAACTGGGACAATGTATCACATGTTGCATTTCCATCCTCCACTTGATTTAGGTTGGCTGGCTGATGGGCTCGTTGGATAGCAGAATGACCCATCATCTGCTATTGGATTTGTCCATGGCCCATCGATGCAACAACACCCTAAAAAAAAACAATTTAATATCCACAACAAAATGAAATGTATTTTTGAACATGACAAAGGCAAGAAAATATATAGATAATTATTTCTATAGAAAAAAGAAATTGAACAGATCCAGGTGTAGAAGGCCTCTGAAAAATATTCTTTAAAAAAATTCACGCGTTGTGGAAGGCCT